TTACGAAAACAATCAACGGCTTTTCAGGCCGATACCCAGTACCTGAAGGGACCGCACATTACCGCCGTGGACGAGAAGGGCCTGGAGACCGCGGTATTGGGCTTGGAGTTTCGCGTTGCCAACAAACACTTCAAGCGTGGCGACATGAAGCTCAAGTGCTTGGCGACAATAGCGACCGTCTATCTGCAGAGCAAAGAGGAGAGCGTGGAAGGAGACGAGAGGATCCTGAAAGCCCCGGTGATGGAGAGCCGCGAGACCAGGGCACAGAGCCACACACGCAACGATTTAATCAATGGTAAAATCCCCGGTGATTCTCCGTCGTTCGACCAAACATTTCGCTGGAAACAACCTAGATGTCACCACTGTTCGGTCAACAATTCGTAGATCCTTTCGATTCGACGTTTCAGACAATTCTATACGGGAATGTTCAGAAATCAAGGATATAAGATTATACAATTGACACGGGAACGACTCTACGTGATAAAATACATCGAAAGTACAGAATACAATTTTTTGGGAATAGGATCGAATTTAAAAATTTGTTTAATGTACGTAAACTTGGGTAATTATAGAGTAAATAATTAACAGGGCATACATTCTACAATTGTGAAATGTATGAATGTTATTATACTTTTTATTTGATTCTCCATGTAGAATCGCCTCTTTACCGACTGTAACGTGATTAATTGGACCTTATATCTTGTTTCTTCTTTTAGTATTGAGGACATTGCCAGCGAACATCGTGACAAATATTAATTCTATGGAAAAAAGAGGATTTACAATACGTTACATATTTTATTAGTTAAACACTAATTTAGGGACTACTATTTATAGTTGCATTACACGGGTGAATACTTCGAACGCAATTCACGCAAAATTTACTGGCCGTTGTATTCGGTCAAGAGAGATACACTTTCAAATGCAAATAAATCGCGAAATTGATTACATTATGGGTTAATTAGTTGGCGATTAAACACTTGCCCGTTTGGGCTTGATAAATAATTCATCAATCAAGATGGTCAAGTGACAATTAACCTAACCAAAAAGCATCGAATCGGAAGGATTGATAGTGTTTATCGGAGAAACAAACCTACATGAATAATAGACACAATAAACAGAAGTCGAACTCGTCATAATTTCACATACATATCGTTTATAGAGAAAAATTCAAAAATATGAGACATGAAATTCTTAGCTATCCAACATCATTATTTTAAACTTGACCTAATTAGGCTGCTTGGAAGATAGAACACTTTTCAAAGTCAAAGAAATCCATTACAAATATAAATACAAGTACAAATTTATCATTACAAATCCAGATACAACAATTTAATTGATTGAATAGACAATGAAGGCAGATCAAGTCCTCTTGAAAAACTGTTTAAACAGAATAGCTTCTTGGAGAAGAAAAGTGCTATTGATTTCCTGTTTGCTTTGAAGTGTTTTATTGAAGATCAAGTAATGATGAATATGGCATGACAAAGAGAGTCTTAGATGATGAATGAAAGTAGAAACTTGATCTTGTTTGAAGAATATTCCTTTTCCATTTGCATTATAGAATCTTTGGTACGTTGATATAGATCAGAAGATTTGCAGTTGCAAAAAAGAAACATCGCTTTGATATTCTGAATAAGAGCAGTAGTAGGAAGTTAGCAATACTAAGATTCTTTTGCTTTTCTCCATCGTCATTTAAATTCTTTGCTTAGAGCAAACAAATATGCTTGGAACAACAATATTAGTTTTAAGTATTATATAGAACATTATTATAGAATTTTGTATATTGTCCATTTATGCCCAAATAATTCTGAACGGTTAATATTGTCGCTTTAAAAATCATACAATAACTGAAAAGCATCATGTTCTAAAATATTCTCAGCTACTTAATGGTTGCAACTTATATTTTGTAAAGCGTATTCTAAGGAAAGTTATTTTCTATTTCAGGGAGTGAGGCAACCAGAATATTCAATCGGATGATCATTTTTCTGATCACGGGAATCATCCTAGCTCGATAATAACGACAGTTATTTTTCACGTTGCTTCCTAAGAGTGTAAAACGAGTACGTTAGGAGATTGTTCCCATCGTATCTAACGCTAATTTTTAAGCCGCGTAATCGTAATTAAATATCATATCGATAAACATAAGGGTGACGTTCGACTAGACGTCTTCGTCGTACGAGTAGTGACAGATCTATCTAACTCTCTATTTCCCCCTTTTTTAATTTGAATTCAACCAAATTCGATTCACTTACTGTCGTTTAAAAGAAATTAATCTTGAAATTACCTTTGAAAAATTAAATTAATTCAAAATATTTGATTAAGAAGATTAAGATAAAATTTTCAAAATATTTATGTGTACAATTTCTCAAAGAAAGTTATGAAGAAAAATTCTTTAAATATTTGTAGATCTGCCACTAATAATAAACCAAAATATGTTCTAGGCTCTAAATGTATTCTCGCGTGAAGAAAAGGTTTCATTTAAAACATATCCATGGAACTACCAAAGAGAGGGAGAGAAAGTAAAAAAATAAAAGAAAATACAACACAGAACAAATTACTCAAAGAAAAGAAACCAAAGGAAGCATAAATCCGTCTCTCCATATGCATATATATATATACACATATATTATATATATGTTAGGTCGTCCAGAGATCTTTTTAACAAATGACAAGGAAGTTCTCATTGCTTTCCCATACATTGAAACAATATTATTTTTACTACAATTTTATAAGGGTACTTCTATTTTTATTGCATATCATTTTTTACATATTTGACAAAAAGAAAGGGGGAATCTCTATATGGAAAGCACATGTCTTTTCATCTCAAAATCTTGCTATTGTGTCGTACAAATGCAATGGAAAGCAATCAAGAACAATTTTTGATAGCTAGCTTCACAAACGGATGCTGGGTAATTATTATTTCCACTAAATTGATATCAATTCATTATGCCATAAACTGTATGCTTTTGTCATCTAACAAGTCTACTTAAAGATATTTTAAATAACAGAAACATACAAATTTTAAGTAAATCTATGTCGTTATAAAGATAATAATGTATTCAAAGTTCTTTTCGATGAATTCTGGTATTAACTGAAATTTCAATTCTTGAAAAATGGAATACCCAGTGGTGACATAAATGGTGCATCTCATACAACGTAATCTCAGCTATATAATACTTTAGGAGCGTATATTTTTATCTAGATTTTTACATTCAATGATCGTGTGACTTTATCACGTTTCAAGTTTTCCCGCGTAAATACGAGGAATTGAGAACAGTTTGAAAACAGGCGCCATCATATGAAAACCACGTTTTAAGCGAAACATTTTAATGCGGGGAATTATATATAAAAGTGTGTTATGTCAACATTTTAACTAAAAATATCCTCGCTTTCGTATGTTTGTACGAATTTTCATTTACGACTTTAGCTCAGGGCGCGGAGATTTAACGATCCACCCACGAAATACACATTTCAAAAATCCATCTTTCTTGTAAAATTGCTAGACAACGAAATTTCCAAAAATGATACTAATCCAACTTTTCTTCAAATTATTCTAACGATATCTTAAGGCTATTAAGCACTATTGTACATCTAAATTGTTTACAGTTGTCTTCCTGCACGAAGCAATTTCACAAGGAAGATCGTTAATTAAACATTGTTAATGCTACTTATCGTTATTTACTGCGAAAATTTTATTGGTGAATTATTTACATTGTTATTTCTAGACTACGGATGTTTATGCACTTTTCGAAAATGTAAAATTTCAAAGATTTGCAGAATGCATATAATATGCGATAATATATAAAATATCAAATTATTTTGATATATTTTATTGTAGTACAATAATTATATACATATATATAGTTTAATATTATAATATATTATTATATATTTCTATATATGTATATAAAATAGCATTTATTATAATATTTACTAGATAAAACAAATTTTTATTCATATTTCATTATATTTATAAAAATAGAAAACAGCATAATCATCAGCAGTCTAAATATTTCTGTATGCATGTGCGCGAAAATTCAAAAATTACTACGTTACTAAAGTTACTACGACGTGAACTTTTGAGTGCTTTCTCTGTATAGCGAACATTTTCTCTCTTTTATTAAAAGAAACTTTTACATTTTTTCGCAAATGTTAATTTTGAATATAATTAAGCATGAAAGAGAAAGGAAAAAGGCAAAAATCGCACACGCGTCGTCGTAATGTCTGATAATTAAGCTAAAAACGAATATGTGTTTCTTACATAGTAGCGTATCAAAATCCTGGTACATACTTGTCATATCATAAAAAGTGTTTAACGAAGCTGTAAATATGTACATAATTTTCATCGTTATTAAAATTCACTATTATAATACTCTTTCCGTTTCGTTTAATTCCTTTGTGGACGCGTAATTTAACCTAACCTAATTTTTGACGCAATGCTAATACTCGTAAACAATGTCAAAATCATTAAAAGTTCGATGTGAAAATATTAAAAATGAATGGATTCACTCACCAATAGGAGCAATATTTTCTTTGGAAGAATGCTGTTAAGAAACCATGACACAAGGGCTGCCATACATCGCATGAAGAATGATGTGTAAAATGTTCCATCTTTATAACTCTTCACTTTTATATGAAAATTCTGATACTACTTGATACACAGGATGTATACACTACTAATTTTCGAATGACATTAAAAATTTTTAATGTAAAATCTATTTGTAAAACGACGAACACCACATATAGACTTCCTTCCGACGCGACTTTCAAGATGCAAATGGCGTTGCTACCGTATCACATGATCTCGCTGCCTCCTTTCCCGCCAAAAATTCTTGTACCGAAAAATAAAAATTGAAATAAAATAATTATCATCACATCGTTACTTTTTCCTTGTATTTTAAGGCTTCATTAATAAAAAGTACACTAAAATTTCGAAAGTGAATAAATCATGACGATAAATGTTACAAGCAGTTTAAATAATTTTTGTCGGTTTTTCATACGATAGAGGAGACATCTGTAAGTAGAAATCAAATGTTATTCGTTATTTAAATATCTAATCAAACGTTTAAACGGCTGTGAATATTTAAGTATTTATACACTGCGTTAAAAATTTTTGGAATTTGTTCAAGTAAAAGTAGTAAGTAGTAAAGATAACATACCTGAGTTTAAGTAATTTACATTGTAGGTGTTTACAGTTAAAAATTCTGTGTGTATAACCTCAACGGGCCAAAGTTAACATCTAATAGAAGAATATTTAAAGTGTATCAAAACAAACAACATATAGTCTCTCTGATTAAAATAAGAAATATATTAATTTTTTATATCTAACACAGAGGCAGTTAATTCTTTTTTGTAAATATAAATTGTATTAAGTACTATGATACTCGATAAAATTTTAAGCAAATATTTGATAATTTCTTTTGGATTTAGATGGAACCAATGGCATTAGGATCACCTGTTGGAAGTCCAGTGCAAAATCCTGGAAGTCCAGGAACTTCTGCATACCTCCCAAATTTCCTTCTAGGTGATTCTACAACGGTAAATGAAACTCATCAAATTGCATTGCATAATATTGCGCAATAATTTAAGTAATCACTTTTATTAATGTTTTAGCCTGCCAAAATAAGTTTGATGGGCCCACAAGATATTCTGAAACAGTCACACATTGGTCACAGTGCACTGACCTCTCCACCTTCCCACTATGGTACTCCAGATTATCGTAGTAATCGTCAGAAAGCTGTGTTCGGAAGTGCTAATACTCCTAACACATCACAAATAGTCACAGAAAGCCACACTGGTGGACCTCCAACAAGAGGACTATTCGATACTCTAGAAACTTCTCAAACTGCATCACCCTACTTGTCAGCAACAAATCAAAGTATACCTTGCTATCAACCAAGACTTTTAGTGAATAGTATGAATACTTCTATATTTAACGATGGTGCAATGAGCCCTAATGCAAATGAATCACAAGGTCTTTTGCAATGGGTAACCGTTTTCGGTTTCTCTCCTAGTGATATGAATACAGTTTTAGCTCACATCTCGAGTAGAGTTCGCGTAGTGGACAAGCATCCTCCACCACATTCACAGAGCAACTGGATACACTTAAAATGTGCTTCAGAATTAGAAGCACAAAGGGCACTCGCGTGTAATGGAAATATAGTATCTGGATCTATAATGATCGGTTTGATCCCTTGTACAGACGAGGGTGTTATATTAGGGTCGGATAAAGAGAGTCGTTCAAGAATGAACGGAAGTACTAAATGTTTCTCGAACCTAGCAAGAGTCACTCAATCGCCAGAATACAATACACCACGCACACCTGTTAGGATACAAAATGCAAGGCCACTGGCAGCTGGTTACAATCAAAATCTTAGTTCACAATCAGTGAGATCGCCTGAAAATGTTCCACAGAAATCTACAGGTTTAGTTTCGAAAGCAATGGAATACATGTTTGGGTGGTAATTTTGACTGAAGACAATTATACATGCTGTTTCGATAATGACAAATATTATTTAATATGTAATTCTCCTTATGTTTTTATAAAAATCGAATGCAATATAGACATGAATAATCCGAGAGAGGAATATATATATATATATATAAAAGATCCCAAAAATGTCTGTTTACGCTTCTTTACTATCGATGGTACCAAATATAAATCTTTATAAACACCAATTATCACATAATGCTATGTCTAAACTATGTATTTCTCTATTAGTACTTTTTTCTACTTTAAACTACTATCAATATTTAATCGGTTCTATCGTAATATAACACAGCTTACGATTAAGGGACGTTAAAATTACTTTCGCAATGTTGAATCACGTGTATTGCATAGATATTAATTAAAATGGTCCGTTTCTTAATATACTCGTGTTATTTAGAAAATATCGGTGAATGTTATGAATATTTTTACAACCCGATAATGAACTTATTTTTGATGTTACGTCATTGGTATAATACACATGACGAGACTTATGACAATGACTTCGAATGTTAAAAATTTGCATGATTACTGTGATCAGTGCATTCCTCTCTCTTAATTCGAGTCTAATATATATATATATATATATTATATATATATATATATATATATATATATATATATATATATATATATATATATATATATATATATATATATATATATATATATATATATATATATATATATATATATATATATATATATATATATATATATATATATATATATATATATATATATATATATATATATATATATATATATATATATATATATATATATATATATATATATATATATATATATATATATATATATATATATATATATATATATATATATATATATATATATATATATATATATATATATATATATATATATATATATATATATATATATATATATATATATATATATATATATATATATATATATATATATATATATATATATATATATATATATATATATATATATATATATATATATATATATATATATATATATATATATATATGTATCATCGATATTTTATACATGTTTCTTATAGAAAATAATTAGTACTAAGACTATGTTAAAATGCTCAAGTCTGTTTTTTTCCTAAGCCCTGCTCACATTGTAGACACTAATATGGTACAATCATACGTTCATTTTCTTGTACTAATAAATACATTCATATTGTCCCACACTTCGCCTGGTTACAATTATTTTGGACTCTCAATAGTGGCACTGCCCAAATCCGTCATTTTTGGATACTTCACTTTTTTCTTTTCCAGCTCATCCTGTGCCCAAAGTATCATCTTCAGCAAATTATTTAATCGTGGGCTAGTTGACTCTTTGTGCTCCATCTTCAATATAGCTGCATTCAGCTCGCTTGCTATCTAGTTTTATAAAAAAAAAATATTTGTACTATTAATTATAAAAGCAAATATCATTATTGTTTGTAAAGAAACTTAGTAAATATAAATTCATAAATAAAATTATTATTGCAATCCATTAAAAATAAGAATTAAATATTACAGACAATAATTGTTTACCTTTTGCCTATGAGTTGGGTGAAGTAAATCACTATAAGGACTCTTATGGGGCTCATCAAAAGCCAATAGAGCTAAAGTACGCTCTAATTCACACAAAATAATATCGTCTGATTCTCCAGCTTCGCTCAGTCTATCTTGAGCAAATTGCAGAGCCTCCTCTATTTTTCCTGTACGAATCAGTTCAATTAGATGCAGCTGCTGCAAATGGAAGTAAAGATATCTATCGTTATCCAATAACTCTGGATGCAGCTGATTCACGAGATCCGTTGCCTCCTGAATACGACCATTTTGAATTGCTTCCCTGATACGAATCCTGTCATCCAAAGAGCTTAGATCTACTGTGGGCTCCACTCCAGACTCTTGTTGAAATTTTTCCGCAGCTTCTTTGAATCCCTCTACACAACAAAACTTGATTGTGACTGATTGATCAAGACACAACAGCTTAAAGTTATGTGTTAAGAGAGAAAAATCTAACCTGTAACTAAATAATTCATAATCAAATTGTTCATAGAAACACGTTGTGTGTAAGAATTCTCTTCCAGCTTGGCGACCCATTCATCCTTCGTTATGTTATCCTGTTTCTCCGGGTAGCTCATCGTTCTTTGACAATCAGCATAAATGTTTATGACAATCCAATATATTGTAGACTACTATGTACCTACAAACTCAATCGAGGTACCCTATTGACAGATATTATGGTGATTGTTTGACACAACAGCTGATTCTTTATTGTTTCGAAAGTAAATAAGTTAAAGATATAATTGTGGAAAGTGTGTCTTAAGAACGATTCACATCTCTCAAATACTAACAACTCGAGAAAAGTGTAAGCAAATTTCCTATGCAGTAAACTGGAAATATTATGATGAAAGTATATCTTAATAAAGTTGTGTGGAGAAGCGACGAGCAACGAATAACGCTTCGTTCGATATTAATAGCAAATACAATCGAAGTATGCCCCAAAAATTAATGTACACGAATGATGCGCGAGTGTGTATAGTAATTTATTTTTTGATTCACTTTACCACCTAAAGGTGGTGTTTGTGATCATGTGACTATCTGCATAACCGGCATTCGCCAGACAGTGCGCTTTCGATGAAATTATGGTCACGTGGTCACATTTCTTATGAATCACAGAAAAACCCAATAGGAGACAAAATCCAATAGGCGTCGGACCAACCAACAGATCAACCAATTTATTTAAAAGTCATTCTTTTCTATCTGCGTTTGATAAAGTAGGAGAAGTTTATACCAGCGTTCACAAAGATCTCACAATCATGGCGGACCCATTGAGCTTGCTAAGGCAATATAATGTTAATAAAAAAGAGATAATCGAACGTGAAAATCAAATAATCTTTGGAGAGTTCTCTTGGCCGAAAAATGTCAAAACTAATTATTTAACTTATGGGTAAGTGATTACTAATTTTCTAGAGAATTAATCGTGACAACTGTAACCTCAAACTTTCTTTCCACCATTGGACAGTCTTCTGCATTTTCTCCTTACCACCAATTAAATACTATACAGTTTGCGAAAAGTTTGTCAGTATCTTCAAAGATTGATGAATTAATATTTCAATTTTCAAAACTAGGAAGAAAAATCATTTTTTGTACTTTTTATTTTTGCAATGTCTTCCATTATGCGTATTGTTTTTTTTTTTTTGGTTATACAAATCAAAAAAACACCGCTAACATATCATCTTTTATTCTATTTTTTAAATTAATGTTGCCACCAATGTACTGTTTTATCTTATATACAGAAATTTCTGCGGACATAGAATATTTAACAAATAGGATAAATACAAAATTTAATTTTTCATAGGTCTGGCAAGGAAGGAACGCCAAAGGAATACTATACTCTTGAGTGCCTCTTGTTTTTACTCAAACATGTACAACTTACACATCCTGTGTATGTGCGGCAAGCGGCTGCAGAGAATATACCAGTGGTACGAAGACCTGATAGAAAAGATTTATTGGCATATCTCAATGGTGAGACTGCTACATCAGCCGCCATAGACAAATCTGCTCCTTTGGAAATTCCTACTCAAGTTAAAAGGACAGCTGAAGATGGATTGGAAAGTGGTCCCTCTAAAAAGCCACGTTTTGAAGAGACTCATGTCCAGAAAGTTAAAGAGCAACTTGCTGCCAGGCTGGATGCTCCAAAGGAAGCTTCCGTCACAGTGGATAACATTAAATCCCTTTCTGAGGCAATGTCTGTTGAAAAGATTGCGGCTATCAAGGCTAAACGTCTAGCTAAAAAACGTACCACAATTAAAGAAAACGATGATATTGGAATGGGATCTGATTTGCGTGTTATATTGATGGATGTTGATGATACGAAAGACATAGTTTCTAGAGAAAGACAGTGGAGAACACGCGCAACTATTTTACAGAGTAGCGGGAAAATATTTGCAAAGAATATATTTGCAATTCTTCAGAGTATTAAAGCTCGTGAAGAGGGTAGACAGAAAGGTCCTGCTGCACCAACACCTATAGTTACCCCACGCTCCACACCCATGCGCCCGTTACCACAGCCAGCTGTTTACAATCGTTACGATCAGGAAAGGTTTATTAGACAAAAAGAAGAGACAGAAGGATTCAAAATCGACACTATGGGTACTTATCATGGCATGACTCTGAAGTCTGTGACAGAAGGCACTAATCCAGCTGTTAGAAAACCGCCAAGTAATCCTTCCACGACTCCTAGTTCTGGCTTGCTACCGACTTCTGCTGCTAAACTTACACCGCAGCAAGCGGCGCAGAATAAGCGTCCTAGCAGAACTCCTATTATTATCATTCCAAGCGCAAATACATCACTGATCACGATGTATAACTCGAAAGATATACTACAGGATCTGAAATACGTCAGTAACGAAGAAAAACGAGCACAAGGCTGTAAACGAGAGAACGAAGTCCTTTTGCAACGAAGAAAGGAAGGTGGGCTCACAGTACCATACAGGGTAGTAGATAATCCACAAAAACTTACAAATGCAGACTGGGAAAGGGTCGTGGCGGTATTTGTAATGGGTCCAGCTTGGCAATTCAAGGGTTGGCCTTTCGATGGTAACCCTGTTGAAATTTTTTCAAAAAGTAAGTTTACTTCCTTTGCCATATGAATAATACAATATTCATTATTACGAGAGCAAAATTTAATTTGGTTAATTTTTATTTTTATAGTTTGTGCATTTCATTTAAAATACGACGAAATGAGGCTAGATACAAATGTAGCACGTTGGGCAGTAACGGTGATAGAACTAAGCAGAACAAAAAGACATTTGGATCGGGCAGCATTAATGGTATTCTGGGAACATCTTGATAAGTACCTATCTATTCATAGAACCTTCAAATACGCATATAGTACTCCAATTACTTTAGCTGGTATCTTATTCCTTACAGGCATATGATTAAAAACAAGCCACATCTTCGATTTTAAACTTGATCCTGTTCAAGACCACGGTTATCGTTAACATGGGTGCACGATTTTCGCTAGGTTACACACTGAGACATTGTATATATTACTGAGCAAATCAACATGTACATACATATATACAGATATATAAGTATTCGAAAAATGCGAAAATTTGTCGCGTCTGTACCCATTTGAAGAGTTCCATTATGAGAGCTTGGCAATAAATTAGAACTAATCCTCACAT